CCCCAAAACCCCAAAACCCCAAAACCCCAAAACCCCGGGGATAAAGATTGTTAAAAATATTAAGTACTAAATAAATCAAAGCACATTCTTTATATAAGACATACCACGAGTTCCTAGAGGAGTCATCTACCTCTTAGCCTAATCTGTACTTTTTCTCTTATCTTAGATAATATTTATCATCGCATGCTTTTTCCTTTTAAGTGCTTTAATATCTTCATTATATTTTTAGGCTTAATCTAGAAGATCAAAAGCATCAATATTTAATCCCTTTTCCTCATCCTTGAGAGCAACTTACTAGCAAAGTCTCAACATAACTTAGTTTTGGTCAATGTCATTGCTAATATCCTGCACATCATAAATCAATTTCTTACTACTTTTAATATTCTCATCAGTGATTTAGGATTTTCCATGTCTTGAGTCCAACGCGAATTTCCATGGAATGACAGTATTCTTACTGTAGGTAGATCTTGATGTATTTAAGATTGTTGAGGAATTGGGGTTTTAAAATGTCATGGAAAACTTATCTGCTGATTATGATATGTTATTTGCTGTCGACCTAGTTACTGAAGTCTATTTTTATTGGGTATATCTCTTATTCTATTTTTACTTGATCTAGTTTTGATAGAACATTTAGAGAATATCCTCAATTGATTTCTTTGGATTTATGCTTTATTGATTTGCCTCTTAAGTATCATGGAAACTACCTCTCATCCCCCTACTTTGTTTATGATCCATTAGACTAGACAGATTTGGATTTTAAAATACAGCATCTTATAGTTGGCATCCTATTTATTTAGATATTTTTTCACCCAAAACATCCTCTTTAAACATGTCACTATGTCTAGTAAGAGTCAAAAGCTTCTCTAATTCTTCGGAATACTTGAAGTACTCTGGCTCAATATCTTGAATTTAATCCGCTCTTCCAACCTTCCTGAACCCCTCTATAAGACTTTATATCTGTTTCAGCTTTTCAATCCATTAAACATAAACTCTACCTGTTCTGCTGTCATAATTTCCACAAAATACATCTCTCATAAGTACTTTATCTATGATTTATACCCAAAACACCCCATTTATCTAACCTCTTGGCACTATTTGATCAACAACCTCATATGCTCTCTTATATAATTCATTCCATTTGTTATTCCAGTCCTGACAATACTCATCAGTCATAACTATAGAGTCAAGACTTTATATTTTTTCTTTTAAAGCTGTCAGACTCCTGCAGCACAATAGCCTTCTATCCTATTTAAAATAAAAGACCTACTTGTCTTTGTGCATTTTGCAATTTTGTAATTTAGGCTTTTCACTATTAGTGAGTTTATTCTTAGTTATGCTTAGTAGTTTAGATTACAGACCAGAGTCTAGCGTCTACTTATTTATTAGATCACTTAACTTCATAGGCTAGGTACTATTTTTATTTGCTGAAAGAATCTCATTTAAGTTTTAAGGGGTTATCAAAGGCCTTCCAAAATTATATGAATGCAGATCTTTGTTATCAGAACTAAGAACAAGATACTCTAGCAATTTATATTTTTCTTAGGGATTTGAATACTAAATATTTAGATCATCAGTGTTGATGAATGTAGATGACTTCTAATTTGTAGACTAAAAGACTTTGCGATCTGAAGTTGATAGCGATGATTGACTAGACATTACTGTGTTTAAAGCTAATTTCCCAGAATAAATTTTAAATTCTTATATTGCAAATATTTTCCTTATTATTTTCCTTTTGGGGTTTTGGGGTTTTGGGG